GCCCGCCCTGCAGCCAGGGGACACAGCTGGGCGGGCATCCTCTGCAAAGCCAGGGCCATAGCGGGGCAGCCCTCCATCCACCCTCGCCCTCTCCGCATGCCAGCAGCCTTGGGGGGTCTTCGCTCACTCTGCTACGCGCCGGGAACGTCGGGATGGGACCGACCTGCTCGGAGAGCTCCTGCAGCGAGGAAGGGGGCAGGGAAAGGGCCATGCTCCTGGCACCCAGCAGCAGCCTCTCACCACGGGCCCTACCGCGCTGTCAGCCACAGCAACATCTCCCAGCCACAGCAACATCTCCTCCCAGCCACAGCGCCTTCTCTGAGCGCTGCCGCTCCTCCTGGGACGGTGCCAGGTATTAAATAACACAGCTTTCCCTTGAGGAACGGGGTCCCGATCCCTCTCCCTTTTGCCCAGCTTCAACAAGGAGACCATGCTGCAGGGAGACACGCAGAGCTCCTTCTGGTACATGCACCCTGCTGTACGACCGGGCGTCCGTCCGGGCCCGGCTCTTGCAGCGTGCTGTGCCGTGAGGTCTGCCCCATGATCCATGGAGCTCAGCCATTCCTTGGGCAGTGGCCTGCACCCTGGGGTTGGGAGATGGCAGCTCCTCGTGGGCCCGTAACACACCTGACCGGGCAGAGATACAGAGTGCAAAAAGTAGGGGTGGGACAAGAGGTTGGGAGGAGGGTTGGGAGGAAGAAAAAAAAAATCCTTCTGGTCCTATCTGGCCATCAGTTGGTGCTCTGGAGCAGAAGATTAAATCAGACTGCGCTCCGAGTGCAGTGGCAGCGAAGACTTAGTTCTGGATGCAAAATTATCTCGGCCCTTTATAAGCAAGAAGAGCAGGGGAGGCACAGGCATGGCTCTCTGGAGACTGCAGTTCCACAGGAGGAGCTGGCAGGTGGCACGTGGCAAAACCCAAGAAAAACACAAATCCTCTTTACATTAACTACACCCGTATCCCACTATCTGCTTGGCAGCATACGTACGCACCACTCGAGTACCTCCACAGATGGCTGAATCAGTCAGGCAGTTTGGCCCAGGTCTCAGCTGGAGAATCTGGGAACGCTGGAAAGTTGAGGGCTAGCTAAACCTTCTCTGGGTTCCCTCCACACAGAAGCCGATTACCGCTGTGGCGTCAGAAGAAGAGGAATCGCCTAATTTCGTGGCGCTGCTGTCTCTGTAAGCTGGCAGAAGCAGAGCAGCTGGGGCGGAAGCGGCTCCGCGGGGCAGCGCCGGGGTGGGGAGGGCCCTTTTGGGGCAGAGGTGGGACCCCGCCAGGCACACCCCAGAGCGGGGGCTCTGCAGCGGGCAGGGCCGGCCGACGGCGCAGGGGTTCGCTACCGCTCGCCCCCAGAAAGCAAGCGCCCTGAAATCATCTCATCTCTTCGCCGCCGTGCGGTCTCTGGAGTGATTCCCTGAAGCGGGAGTCACGCGCATCCCCGGGAATCGCTGAGCCAGGATTACAGCAACACGCGGCCTCCCGGAGAGCACAAAACTCTGCTAAGGAACGCGTCCCTGTGGCAAGCAGCCTGCACGTATTCCTAGGCCTGTCTTCACACCGTCCCCATTTAAGGATGCAGGAACCAACGCATTTCTTTCTTACTAGACGAATATTGATTTTTCTTTTTTCTCATTAATGCCTGTTCTGTGCCAGGCTCTGGCTGGAACAAGACCTGCGTCCGACTGCACATGCACCAAACTAGCATTCTGAAATTGTTTTCGTTACTTAAATAAAATTACCATAATGAACCGTAAGAGCAGAAAGAAAAGGGGTGTGTGTGAACAAACTATGTTTTGTGTTTAGAACTAACTGATTTATGAAATACAAGAAATATTCAAGCGTTATAAGCAGTTAGCAAATTGCACTGGCTGCTTTTTTGAAGACTTTGAGCCTCTTCTGTATTGATAAACTATTATTTTTTCAGCTCCCAATCAGTTCCCTGGTTCCATCTGAACTAATCACTGAATTCAACTTGTTGAATAAACTGAAATGAAGGAAATACTCACTTTTCATTTGCAGAAGAGGCACCTGGGACCAAAACCTGGTTTAAGCACTGAAATAAACTGCTTCCAGATGCTTAGCCAGTCGTATTTCCCAGAGAAGTATGAGAATTTTTCTTACAAACTGTATCAGCTAATGTGTGCAGTTTGACTATTTTTAATACCTTATTTTGTATATTTTAATATATCAGAATAACTTTAGACCTATCATAGTTTGTGATTATTTAATGTTTAATTAGAGATAGTTTTTAAAGGAAAATGCAATTAATATAAATTTAAAACATCCAACTGAGGAAAAAAAAAACCAAACCCCAAATAACCCAGGCTCCAAACTTCTTCTTCCTAGGCTGGGGACTCTGGGGACTGCTTTGGCTTGGCGAAGCAGCAAACCCTGTGGGGACAGGGAGGGAAAGCTGCTGGCGTATTAAACTGCGAATGTAAGAACCGATGCCTACGATGCACTGGTTCGCCCCAGCAGCGCTCGCTCCTCTCAGCCGATTCAACCACATACGTAATTGTTAGGTGCACCTCCCGGGCCTGTGAGTAACCTTGGGTGCAGCACCTACTACTCCAAGCCCTGCACCATGCAAGCATGAGCTACGCTGGAGTTCTCTTGAGCCCTGGCTTACCAGAGGTCCCAGCTCCCAAGAGCTGCCCATGGCAGGGCATTTGGCGCTGCTGTAAGGAGCTTCAGCAAGGAAATCCCTCCCCTCTGTCTCCACTTCCAGAGATATTAAATGGCATTTCAAAGGGTTGATACCCTCTCCCTCTGATGGGGACACTGTATGCATATGAGAACTGGCTAGGATCTCTCCTCCAGGAGAAGGGAGACCAAAGACTGGGATGACACAAGAGAAGAAACCATCAGGTGTGAGGTCAGTGCCTCAGAAAGGAGGAGGAGAGAGAACCAAAACCACTGGAAAGGAAAAGGAGGAAAAAACCTGAAAGAGTGGGAGACAGGCTGAGTCTTGAGTCAAAGGGAAATGGCAGGAAGGCCAGTGAAGAATCAGAGACAAAGCAACAAATTTACAGACGCAACTGAGGAGAAAGAAGATGCAGATGAGCAAGGAGCACAGCCTAGGCCTGACTGGCTTCTTGTCATCAGCAGGAGTTTCTAAAGATTGGAGGGCACTTAAAGACAGAGTCTAGAAGGTCTCACTGCTCTCCTTCCTTACGCATCCTGGCCCATAAGCTAATAAAGTACTTTCTGCCATCATAACCTCACTGCGTGGTCCATGCCCGCCTCCTTCACCATCATACCGTGCCCAAGTTAGCACCATCTCCATGACAGCAGAAGATACACCAGAATGATCATCTGACAGCTGACCCTTGGTTGAGCTAAGCTACAGCCTCAGACCTCAGGTATAGCTGGCTTGTGGATTACAGGGCTGGACAGAAAAGATTGGTCCGGGCAAGAGATACTGGTGTCTGGTCAGAAAGGGCTCTCTCCTCTAAACCCCGGAAGCCTTGGTGCTTGGAATGGTACAGCTGTTCTCAGCCTCATTACACAAGAAGAATCAAATCATCTGTGTTGGGACAAATTCTATGTTTGGTTCCCAAAATTCCCCAACAGTATAGAGCATCATATGTATTGCCTCTTTTCTTTTGCTACTCCATGCTTTTGCCCCAGATTTAAATGACATTTGGCAGTTTCTGGGGATTCGTTGAGAGGAAACAGCCAACAACTGAGAAACAGTTCCTTCTCTGTCATGTAGATGGGAGGGAGACACACCAAGTAGCCACAGAAGCCAGAGGTGAAAGAGGTGTCCACATACATGAGAAGAACAGGTTTATTTGTGCTCCCCCCAGGAAAATTTCTTTCAGTAACAGTATCTAGTTTTGAGTTCTTTCTTTGACACAAGCATCTCTCATGCCTTGAGCAATTTCTGAGCCTTCTTCCATGGGCTTTATACTTAGTAGCAGAGATCTGAAAGTGACAGTCACCAAGAAGACCCAAAAGATGCTCCACCACAGCTGATCAGGAACTTCCTGAGTTTGGGACCTACCTCAAACATCAATGGCAATCACCACCATTGCTCCAAGGCAATGAGGTTCTCTCACTAAGACCCAAAGCACAGCCAGTCTTGCCAGAGGAGGCCAGACTGCCGAAACACCTCTGACCCTCTGCTACCCGCTGCTCCCTCTCCAGCATCCTGCAAACCCCACAGTCACACTGGCCAAGAGAGAAAACCCTGGGAGCTAAGGACAGCATGGGGGGGGATTAGGGCCCTCCTGAGAATTTGAGCAGAGAAATAAACACATGAGGCTGGGCCCAGGGCTCTCACGGTGCTCCAGAAACAGAGACACACATTTACGCCATAGACCCAGAGGAAGAGTTCACAGGTTGGCAGACTGCCATGTCTGGCAGACATCACCCAGGAATCGTGGCTCTGAGCTGTCCTCAAAACAAGACAGAAAGACACCGGGTCATGCTTGACCTGTTCCCAGACACCTCCGCCAGTCTACACCACATCAGAGAAATCCAGCCTTGCTTTGAGAGGGTCCCAGCTCCCTCCTGTCACCCCTTCCAGGAGAGAAACGTGCACAGACTAGGCTGATGACTGGAGAAACTGAAGCCAGGAACAACTCCCAGAGTGCCGGGAAGCTTTCACGCATTTGTTAGCGAGAGCCTTGGTGGTCTCCCAGCCCAGGGATGGTGATGCCCCGTAGCCAGGCGGGCAGCCTTTCCCCACACACACACGCGCGATACTCACAGCCTGCGCATAGGCGCTGTATGGGCTGAACGGCAAGGTGAGAGATGGAGTGAATATCCCCAGCTGCCCCACCATTTGCTGCATACGGCGGAGGGTCCTCTCCTTATCTGTGTCAGCAAACTTCACCACTAGACTGGAGGAGGCGCCCTAGGCACAGAGAGAGGAGACAGAGAGAGGAGGCAGGGGGAAAAGCCGGGACAGCCAGAGAGTCAGCAGTCAGGCAAGGTGGGATGGGGCAGAACAGGCAGCAGAGAGGAGTGGGAAGAGGAGCAGAAGAGCAAATATTGGCGTGAAAGTGCTCGGGAGCTGCCTGGAACCTGGGCTGTGCCCTTTCCCATCCATCCGTCCATCCAACCCTTCCCTCTCCCGCCCGCACCCTGGGCCTTGCACAGCTGCACAAGTGGGTGCACTCATCCCTGGCTGCGTTCACCAGGTGATGGTGCAGCCAGGAACACCCAGGACATCGTCAGCCACAAGCACCATCTTTCCACCGCCATTAGCTTGGCTGGATAGGTAGAAGCCGTTCCTGGCAGCTGGAAATAGCCCCGCTGCAGCACTGCGCCATCCTGCCCACAGTGCGCCCCAATCCAGGTTAGAGATTGTGAGAGACGAGATTCACAGCTGCAGCTCCACTTGCACACGAAGGCACAGCTGCAGCTACGCAAACCCACGCAATGCCCAAAGAGTTCCCATCCGCACCCGGCCTGCCCCAGCGGCCTCCTCTGCTGCCTAAATAAGAGAAGGTGGGCAGCGGGCTCGGACACTGGAGTCCTGACTGCTCACGTCGCTGCATCGTTAGCTTGCACCCTGCTCCGTTTTGAACTATTCCAGGTAGCTGCCTCCAAGCCAAATTCATGGTTCTTGGCTCTCTTTTGTTTAGCCTTTATAGCTGTAAGTGCTGTCACTACCGGTCTGGACAGACACACATACACACAACAGCCCAGGAGACAGGCTGGTTCCCAAAGACAAGAGCACGGATGTGCCCACGCACCCCCCGCACCCCCCCCAACCACATGAGCTGGAAACTGCAGTTGAACCTGTCACGGTTTTGGACAGTGAGGGGAGGTCCCTGCAACAGGGTGATGGGAAGAGGATTGGGAAGAGGGTAGGTACCCTGGCCTTATACTCACGGGCATTGTCTGGCTGCCATGGAGTGCGTGGATTGCTGCCTGAGCCTCTGTGTGAGATGAGAACTTTACAAAAGCACAGCCTGGAAAGGGACAGAAAGAGCACAGGAGATTGCAGTGACAGGACTGCTGCGAAAGTTCCCCTTGCATCACCACGCAAGAGACAGTATCTGCATCTCAGGCAGGGCGAAGGAAAGCCACCCCAAGAAAGCAGGGAACGAAAAGGATGGCTCATCCCAAGTCCTCTATCCTGGAAAAAACAGGAAGGGTCTCAAATTGTTACTTCAGTGATATACTCTATAGATGATGTCACCATGTCCACCCTTGCCCCTGGTTACCTCTTCCCCAAATTCTCTCTGCACTCCTAATTGTGGGTACAAACATTTCAAATCATAGAGTCATAGAATCATTGTAGACCCAGACCGAGCCAAGAGGCTCACCAGTGTCCCTGATAACTCAGCTCCTCATCGTGCTCTGCTTCCCCTCCTTTCACCTCAGTCTCTGCCCATCTTCCCCAATCTTTCCTTACAGCAGACGACTCTTCCTGCCCTGCTCCCTATGCCTGGCTGGGATACGGGTTCCCATAAAGATGGGTGGGGGAAGAAGTGCCCCAGTGGGCTGGAGGCACAGGCGGTGAGGCAGGTGAGCACTACCTGACGAGCAGGGAGAAAGGGCCCGACACACAGAGGGGTTCACCTTTGCTGTTACCATCAGGTCCACGGAGCACCGTACATTCATCAATGACCCCAAATGGTTCAAAGAGCCGGAGCACGTCATCCTCAGACTGCTGCTTATTTAACATGCCCACAAAGAGCTTCCTGTCCCCTAGGGGCAAACACAGAAACATCAACCTTCTATGAGGCTTACAGTCCAAAGCAGGAGGATAGGGACACTTAAGCGCAAAACAGCCTAGTGTTGAAAACATGCCTGGCATGGAAATGATTTGCTGTTGGCTGAAATACTGCTGGGGTGAGTATGCAGGCCCTCCCAAGCCCCCCACACCTGCAAAGGTCTCTGTGGCTTCCCCTGTCCTACCTTCCTCAAAGGAAAACAAAAGATTAATAATTTCCTTCTATTCATTAGCCCTTTCCTTTGAATGATCCAACACAAATGGTAAAAAGAAAAACTGCCTGGGCAATTATACCCTTATTGAACAACATGTGAAGTCCAAGAGGTACCTTAGGGAACACAGCAGACCAACCCAGGGTGAATAAATTCCAGACCCTTGGCTTCTGTTTCCTTTTCTTTCTCTCCAAGATCACTGTTTCCACAGCTGCTATGTAACCAAGCATCTTAGCTTCAATGTGCCCTTCCCTCCCCAGTCTAACCAGTATGCCTACCGAGCTGTCCTCTAAGGCCTGGAATAAACCCTGGCATCCTGGGTCCCAATTTGCCTCGCCATAGAATCAGCCAAATGCAAGACAGTTGGGTGAGGGACAACAAAGAGCTCCGTGGTGCCCACTCCCCCTCTCCAAAGTCATTTTGTACCCGTGTCACACTGGCCGGGGGCTGGAAGGCTGGCTAACATAGGACTTTGAGCTCAGGGTCCTCCTGGGTTCCTCCATCAGAACGGAGAAGTGAGGATTATGGGTTTTGTTGGGATGGCCAGGTGCGGAGGTGGGAAGAAAGGAGCACAGCGCTTTCTCCTCCTCTCTGCCCCCATCAGCACACACGGGGCCCAGCACACAGCCTGATGCCATCCAGTCAAACACAGACACAGCAGTGGTTGGGGCAACATCCTCCACAGATTGCTGTGAACAGCTACGAAAATAGCACAACATTAAAATCCCAGCCTAAATGCCAGCCCGATCTCCATCTTTGCAAGGAGATAGTTGTGCCGACTACAGTTAACCCTCCCCCAGTGCCCCAAACATGCATGGGGAGACATGACCCATAGGAGCCAATGTGTCAGGACACGGCTTGGGAGGAGCAGTGAGAGAGGAGTCCTTATTGTTAGCGACAGGATCGCAGGGGCCGGCTTCAAACAAAACCAATGTAATGTGACACACGTCAGGGAAAACAGCGAGAAAGCTGCTATCTGTTTGCGAGTGCAGTGACCTGAAAAAACAACAGGTCTTGGAGCTACAGCAGCAGAGCAGGCAGCAGGGGTGGTGGTGTGTACGTATGGCAGGAGTGGAGGAGGACACGTTGCACGTTCGCACCGCCGGCAAAGCTCCCTCCCGCCCCTGCCTCGCTCCCCTTGGCTCCGAGGATGGTTCCCACCCAGGTAAGCAAGCAAGGTGCCTCCCCGCCACTGCTCTGCCACATACAAATGCACTTGGGAACACGTGCAGGAAGTATCTACGCATGCCATCGGTCCCTTGCAGAAAAGCAGATGCACACGCACAACGTTAACGGGCAAGCACGTAGGCTCACGCATGCAGAGGAACATGCTTGCACATCGACCCGGCCCCAGCACGTGCCTTCAGAACCAAACGTCCTCAGGGAGCGAGAGGGACGTGCAGACAGAAGCACTCTTCCACCAAGCAGACACCACAGGGACCCGCCTTGTACGGCCGCAGCACCCACGGAGCCCAAGCACAAGCTCATGCAGGCACAGCTCTCCACCGGGCACTGCACGTATGTGCAACGCAGCTGCCACTTTGGTCCACCACAGATAAAGGGTTAAAAGCGCCGCATCGAAGGCTCTTACCCAGGCCCAAAGAGATATTCCTGATTTATAGCACTAGAAGTGGCTGAAATATATGGCCTTGTGTATTTTTTAAAGGCCAAATTTCCCAGCTTCACCGTTTTCATGATTCCCTGGATAACTAAACCTGTGGAAATTTCATCCCCTTCCATTTTTCTTGCAATTCTTTCTACATTCCTCCCTGCACCTGCATGACAATGCTTGCATTTTTGGAGACACTATTTCAGCGGATCGAGTCCATCCAAAATTTAGTGCTCTGGCAATGCCCACTAATCCCCAGCCAAGGCACAAGAGCTAACAAACCAGGTGCCATACAGCTGCCTTCTTAGCAGCAAGACAGCATCTGCCCCCACCCAAGGGCCAGCTCAGAAATGCTGGTGGGCAAACCAGCCGAAAAATAGCACATAGAGAGGGTGAAAAATCTGACTGGAAGGCGAGTGGAAAAAAATGAGACTGGTCAGGAACAAATTTACTGGGAGGTGGAGAGGAGAATGGAAACTAAAGGAGCAGCAGCTCTGTGCTCCCATGAACATCACCTAGTGCCATACGTGACCCCAGTTTGGCTGTGGGAGGGGACACGAGCTCTGCAGGTTCCCCCCTCCTCTACCCTGAATCTATTGCAGCTGCAGCCAGGCCTTATTTCAGATATGTGCACCATGCCGCGGCCTTCGGATTGCAAACACGGCAGGAATTCCTCAAAAAACCACATCAACAAAGGGGAGAAACACACTGGGAAACATTTGTACTGACTGTAGATGCTGTAAAATAATTCTCTGTTCTTTGAACTAACAAGCAAATAATTGCGGACTAAGACTTAACAGCCAGAAATGCAGTCGATGGCCTTGCCTTGCTCTTCAGGGACCTCAGCAGGCTGGCTGGCCGTTCGGGTCAGGGTGGCAGGGGGGTGTCAAGACAACTGGGAAAGTCACTTCTATTAGAAATTAAAAAAAGCTGGAACTCTAGGTGGAGGGAGCATACAGCTACACGGACGTAATGTGACTTTTGTAATACTGGCCTTTCGCTTCTGAATCCCATTTTGTGTAAAGGGAGGTTTTTGTGGAAGAATAGTGGGTAACCTGTGGAGAGTCAGGTAAGTGGTTCCAGTTTTGGCTGATGACTAACTCAGTGCAAAGACCTGATGGCTACCACAGCCACCCAAAGCTTAAGGCTCTGCCAAGCAACAGGCTAACGGATGCAAGAGGCCGTAACTTTGCAACAGAGGCACTGAACGAAAAGGAACCTTGTCAACTTGCAATCAAATCAACATTAAACTAGCTGCTTTCTCCTTCAGAAGGCCTTGAAATTTCCTGGATAATTCTTGTGGTTTCATCCTTGTTCCGTTGGATCAAAAGCATTTTTCTTTACCCTGCACTTTGGGAAGGGTCCATTGAAACAGCGGATGCCAGTCTCCATGGCAGTTTTACTGCAGGTCATCTGTTGTCTGACAGGGCTCACTAGCAGAACACTTTGGAAGTCCTGTGTTTATGTGGGAATTTCAGCTTTTCTTTTTTTAATTTGGAAGAAAAAAAATGCCAGCCTTCCTGGCTATGCAGAACAGGTTAAAACTGTGATACCTTAGTGACTCAAGCTGTAAAGGCAAATATAAAGAAACACACCTATTGGTTTCGAATCTTTCCTGAATGCTCAGCATGGCAATATTAGAAGGGGGTGAAGTCACCGACAACATAAGAGAAAGATTTTTTTCACGGTTATTTTCATTTCCTACAGCCCAGTTCCCAAGATTGCACGTAGGAAAAGGATGCAGGCTTGTTCCCCTAGGACGCCTCTTTGCAGCAACTGGGGACCTGTGAAAGGGCTCCGCTGCTGCGGACCTCTCTCCTTCTCCATGTGCTGGAGCCCAACCCATGACCCCTCTCACTTTGGGCGGCTTCCAAACAGGGCCATTCCCCTACCAGTAACCAAGCTGCCTCATCTCTCCACAACGGGGCCAAACCCGTTGCAGGGGCAAGCCCTTTCAACCCAGTGTCTGCTGTCACTCCTCTTAAAGCGGTTGATCCCAAATCAGCTGCATCCTCAAGCCACTGCTGCGGGTCGCTGGCTCCTTCGGCTCCCCAGCAGGGACTCCTGCAGCGCTGGAAGATCTTCTCTCCCCGACCCGTAACAGCACACCCTCCTCTGGCCATTTTTCCTTCACTTTCTCTCCAGCTCTTGTTTTTCACCCTCTGATTGGCAATTTCCCATGCTGTCCAGCAACCAGGAAAATTGCCTCTGATCTCTGACTGTTGAGTTCCCATGGAAACATGCTCTGGGCACAGGCAGTCACCCAGGCAGCAGGAGGAGGGCCAGCGCAGAGCAGGTTGCTGATGAAGATACCACAGGAACAAGCGAGGGGTTAAGGCTGAATGCTTCGGCCATGAGGGAGAGAGAGGAGAGCACACAAGCACTGGACGCCGCTCCTCTTTAAACCCGGTGGATTTAGGTCATCTGGCCAGCAGCTGTCAGCAGCAAGGATCAGGGAGAGGGAGGAAGCCCGCTGAAGCAGTTGGCTGTGGACGGCACGCAGCAAATCTCCTTGGGCATGCAGAGAGCTCCCTTGCCTCTAAGGCAGTGCTAATGGGCTTGGGCTAGCTGTCGTACCACATCAGTGCAGCCGAGCGCTCCAGGTCGTGCAAGAAGCACAGCCAAGCTCCTCTGCCCCCTCGCTCCATCTCCTCCTGGCACTCCCAGGCTCACATCAAAAGGCACGAGGGGAAAAAGGAGGAAAGAGCTGACAGAGCCTGCGCCAGAATCATAGGTCCCCCTCTGAACTAATGCAGGCAGCATCTTTTTACCAGTGAATTCCTTCTGCGGGCTGCAGCGACACTGAGCATCCAGATATCCCCACACAGCCCACGCAGGGCTTGGCCAAAACTGTCCCTTTGGCACAATAATTAGCATCTCTTAGACCAGGAGACAAATTCTGGTGCTCTAACTTCCTGTACTTAATTCAGGGTGCTTAATTTGAGACACGTCAGTCCCCGGAGAGGATAAAAGAGATTCCCTTCAAGGATAATGCAGAGCAGAGCCTCACTGATGCATGCAGCTGTTCCCTTGATAAATTCCTACGTCAAGCAGTTCTGCCCTGCCCCAAAGCTTTCTTTTACCTCCTGCCTGTGTGGGGCTATTGCTGTAGGGAATGGCTCTTCCCATATCTGCAAACTTGCTCATCCACTTCTCTGACAAGTGGAGCATCACGACAGAAACTTTTGGAAAGAGCAACCTGATTCAGCCAAATATAGGGTGCTGTCTTGACGCTGCTTCTGCCTCAGGAGAAATTCCAGTTTGTCATGGAACCTGCGGGAGCCCCTCGATCCCGAGCTCTGCAATGAAGCTGGAAGGAAGCTAGGCATACGGGCTGGAGGGAGGCGTTCAGAATCCAAAGGCTGCTTTCCTCTATGACCTGCTCCACGGGAAGCAGAGCTGATGCCCTGACATTTGCAGTCATTAGAGATTGTGGTACTTTTCGTAAGCGTAGAGATTTCAGAGTCCAGTGCCTTGACCAAAAGCTTGCCTCCAAATCAACATCCTGGTTTTGAACCTGTTGGCCTATTTCAGCTCAATCTGACAGAGGAGCTGAATCAGAGGTGTTAAGTCCCAACACATTTCGTGATACTAGGCGGCTGCGTATGGAAAAGAGTCCCTGGTAGTGCCCCAACAGCAAAAGAAAGACTGCAGAAATGACCTCAGCCTAGTATCAGACACCAGAGATTCCCGAGTCACACTCATCAAAAAGACACAAACTGTTCAGAAAACAAAGTTGCAGCGTTCGCAGCCTGAATTGTCTGTTCGGTCTCTTCTTACTGCTGTTGTGTGAGAGCTTAACGCAGGGGCGTCAGCTGGGCACCCGTCTGTAGGCACATCTGCCCGTGCCTCTGCGCTGCCGTGCGGGTTGCTGTGCAGCCACGGCTCCTGCCTGAGAGTGCTCGGGATCTGCCAGTGTGTACAGGTAATGGCTTTGGGATGTTGAGGTATTGCTACGACTGGCAAAGGCTTTCCTAGTCTCCTATGCTTTTTTTTTTTTTAAAGACTCATTAGGAATAACCTCAGATACAATGACACAATTTCTGAATTATTTAGAAATCTGGGGTGCAATTTTTTTTAAAATCAGTGTGGTGGGGGAAGGATTGACCACCTAATGGTTGTATCTAGAGGCAATATGAGGTGGCAGTAAGCAGTCAGCTTCCTCTATCCGCACTGCAGGCAACTCTAAAGAATAGCTCATCCACTCCTAGTACCGGTGTCGGGAGGGAGGGAGTGAATCACCCGAAGGCACTGGTCTCTTTTTACTGTCTATAGCATGGCCAAGGACCTTAAACTCAACCCTGAACCCAGGGGCTGAAGTAAGGTGAGATGAATCCAGTCCTATGTGCTTTAGGCATACTAGTTTCTTTGGAGGCTTAAGCCACGGTTCTTTTCAAAAGGAGCATGGCTATAGGTGGCACGTCTGGGATTCTCAGCATAGTCCAGGGGAATAAAAATGCCCAGACTTCAGTAAAAGTCAGGTGTCTTAGACTTCAAGTAAATAATGAAAAGTCACAGCTTCTATTTGGGAAAATGATCTGACTTCAACAGATACACTTTTTTTTTTAAAGGAGGATCACACAACCATAAATACACACATTCACATAAAATATTATAAAATATATCTCATGTTCCTGCCAGTGCAATAATTGAAAGTCACTACAAACTGCTTGGAAGTGACCCCTTAAAATTTAAAACAAAAGCCTTCCAAATCTAAACACAGCATGCAGGCTCTGCTGCCCTGCAGGACAAACAGTCTCACACAAATTCTCCCCTCCCCACTACCAAAGTGCTTTCAGAGGCAGCACCAACAGCACCAGGCATGGAGAGACAGATGCAGGAATGAAGAGGAAGAGAAATGCATCGGTAAGACAAGAAAAAGTAGCAAAACGAGTTCATAAATTTGGAAAGGGATGGAGTTGCAAACCTTCTCCACCTGGAGGAGGCATCTGAGCTGCTTTGAGCTCCCCGTTAAATTAACAGAGATTCTCCTGTTCCCAGTTTTCCAGCTCTGGACTAAGTATGCTGCTCTAACCAAGGTGGGCCCCTGCAGGCTGCCAGCACCTCCACCTCTGGCCTAAACTCAGGATCCTTTCCCTTCAGACACTATCTCCCCACCACACGCTATTTTCTGCAACGGCACTTGGGCCCTGCCAGTGTGATGGGAGCTGCCGCAGGACTGAGAGCGGAGAGGCTGAGACAGCCCAGCAGCGATGGGGGAGGCAGAGGAGTGAGCCGCAGACAGGAGAATCGGCTGCGGAGCAGTGAGCTAACAGGTCAAAAAGCCAGTGCTGCTGCAGGGATCTGGCTTGTATTGGGCTGATCAGGTGTAAGAATGAAAAAACCTCTTCCCAGCCACTCACACCCTCCAGGACCCCCGGTGCCATTCACCAAAGTGCATGCCTGCTTCAGCAACCTCCCGGGGCAGACACTGTCTGGCTAACAGGCCCCTCGAAGGGCTGGGAAACGGCGTGGGCAGCCACATTATTCCCCTCAGGACTCGGGGTGCTCTCAGCTGCCTGCTGTGCCAAGCTGAAGGCTCCCCATCAAAGCCTATCCCTAGACTCTCCTCCTGCCCCCCCAAGTGCCTGCCACACACAAGCGCCCCTGCATACAGACTGCGGGGAGAGCAAGGCCAGGTCAGGACCCTGTCTCTTTGCTTGGTCTCCCCCTCACAAGCACAAAGCCGCCAAAGGAGAAACAAGGAGAGATGACAACTACCTCCACGGCTCTCGCTGTCTGCGGGTTTCACTTGAATCGGGCGCGCCATCTGCAATGAAAGAGAAATGCAGAGGGTTAGAGCTGGGCCCATCTGCCTGGCACACGGTGCTGATGGCAGTGGCACCAGGGTGCCCCTTTCCGCCTGCTGTGCAGAGTAGGAGAGCGGCAGAAGGGAACCAAGACATCGCGATGGCAACCAGAACCCTTGGAGAAGGGACCACGTGGATCTCAGACTTCTCAAAAGGAAACCTGGCGCTTCTCCCCGCTCAGCTGCTTGCCTGCAGGGAACAGCTCTCCTGGAAATGCCCACCATGCATAAACCTCCACCTCCTCCAACACAGCAAGTGGCAAAGAAAGGACTCCGAGGAAGCAGCTCATCACCGTGAGACTGGAGCCTGAACAGTGGTCAGGGTGGCCTAAGGTGAGACCATGCCTGGAAGCTCTCCCTATGCCCACCCTGACTCAGCACAGGCATGGTCACCTCACCTAATTGAGCCGCTTACTTTCTTTGCTGGAGGGAAGAAAGACTGCCTCTGGATTGGGCTAGGAGCAGTACAGCAAGCAGGCATGTTGCGTTCGCCCTTCCCCAGCCCTCAGGCAGGCAGAGCTCTGTGCACCCAAGCGGCTCTGAAGAAAGGCGAAGGGCGGTGCTGCTCTCCAGCAACATCTCCTGTCCACGTGGGGAATGCTCAGGCTGAACGTGACAAAACCCTCGCTCGATTGTGGAGCAGAGCTGTTTACCTCTCTCGCACCCATTAGTGTCATCAGCAATAATCCAACCACAAGCAACAAGCCGGAGGGGTAGCTCAGCTCACGCGATACGGGGACTCTCCAGGTAAGAGAGAAGAACGCTTCTACCCAGGAGCAGCTGCATTAAGTGACCCACAGCTTTAACTGCCTGATTTGCAAAGCAGGGCAAAACTCTTGTCCGCTGGAAGGTATGCGTGTCCTGTGCTGCCCAGACAGACAACTGACAGGCTGTAGCCTCCTTCCCAGCCTAGCAGGGTTCAACCGAGCCGGAATCTCCTCCGAGGAATGGTGTACAAGGCAGATTTCCACATTCACAGCACGTCTCGCTCCATGGCTCTCAGCATCATTCACAGAGGCTGACAGTGACTTGAATCGGTGACATTCATAATAAAAACCAATCAGAGTATCGCAGGTAAGACCTGCACACAAGTTGCAGGTCCAGGCACAGTCTGCCCCCTCGCAGGAAACGCCCTCAGGAAAAACAGCGACAACAACAAAACAGAAAAAATGAAATCAAGCCATAAAAGTCACCAACTGAAATGTGTTTAGAAGCCAGCATGCAAAATGCGGACTGCTGTCAGTCTGCAAGTGGTGGCTGAGCCAGACTGGCCAGAAACCAGAGGTAGAGCTCGCGTTCCCAACAGCTGGAGGAAACCCGTGAAGGAACTTTGCAGCTCACGGGACGGAGATGCCAACCAGAAGGTGCTGGGCTGCTGTGGCATGGCACGCCGCTGCTGAAGCCTGACCACTGGGCACGGGAGAGCGCTTGCGGCAGCTGTGAGCTGGCTCGCGCTGACTGGTGGATCTCAGGCAGGATGAGCAGAAGTTGGGAGCAGCCCCAGGCGATACCATCCCTGCCTCAAGCATTGATACGGGACTGCTTGGCAGAGCCAGAGACCGGCTGGCAGCTCCTCAAAGGAAGGCCAAGCTGCTGCCATGCTGCACCTCGGTAGGCAGCAGTGCCAGCTCCAGCTCCCGGGACTGGCTGTGTCATTTGGGGAAGAAGGAAAGGCCGAGGGTCCCTTTCCCACTCTCAATCAGCTGCATGGATTTGCAGAGCTCCTAACATCCCGCTGTGCTGCCACGTGGCCCCAGCACGTGCAGGGCTGGCACTCGCCAGCCTCTGGGCTGCTGCTCCCCCCAGGAGCTGCCAAGGACCCGGAATCTCTTTCAGCCCATGAGCTGGGCACGACGTGGGGCAGGGGTTCAGAAGGATGCGGTCAGACATTGCTCCAGAAAGCCTCGGATTTCCTCGCCGAGAGGCAGCGGCTCCTATCGCTGCTCGCAGCCTCCGGCAATACGCCTGTGCGAGCGGAGGCCGGGGGTGTTTCGGCAGCAGGCTGGGTGGGAGAGGGCAGGCAGCCCAGATGTGCGCTCAGAAGAGGGGGCTCCGCGGAGCCAAGAGGGGCAGCTGGCCACCTCGCTCCCCACTGCTCCCACAGCACTGAGAAATAGCTTTATTTCCACCCAGGATGCAAAACCAGGATTAAGCTAAACAGATGGGGAGGGAGATGGAGGGACAGACTCGGATCTCAGCTTCTATGAGGAGCAAATCCATTTGGGGGAAGGGAGGGAGGAAGGGATGCCGTGGAAGCCAAGAGCGTCACAGCCCCGCGTGAGCACGGACCCACGCAGGGGTGCTGGGAAAGCGAGGGGCCGGGGAGGATGGGGCAGCGAGGGAGGGGGTTAAGCACCTGAGTACATCTCCCTGTCCCCTCCCCCAACAGGGCTGTCACTCCGGCTCCCAGCACCTAGGGTAAAGGAGGTGTTGCCATGGAAACGGTTATTCACCACATGGAACCTGACATTTGTGGTTGCCATGGAAACCAGCTCTTGGGGGCATTCCCTCTGCTTTGCACAAAAGAGACATTTTGATATGATCTCCGGGGAGGGGGCTCCTTCCACCCATCTGTCCACCCCTTTCCTTCCCCCCCT